CCCAGGCCCCCACACATTTTTGACTTCTGATGTTTTACAGTGGGTCTGTGCCATCCCATTGCCTGTGGCCTTCATTGTTTCCGGTGAGAAGTAAGCCGTTGGTCTTATTGAGGGTCTCTTGTAAGTGACAAGTGATTTTGTCTTGTCACAGTATTTTGTCCTCATCTCTGGCTTTCAGCATTTTTACAATCGTGTGTTTAGCTGCGAATCTTTTGTGTTTATCCTACATGGAGTTTGTTGAGCTTGCTGGATGTGTAGATGAATGTTTTTCAATAATTTGAGAATTTTTCAGCCATTATTTTTTAAAACTTTTTTTTCTGCTTATTTCTCTTGCCTCTCCTTGTGGTACTTGCATTGTGTATATGTTGGTACAGTTAATAGTATTCCAGCTTCCTCTGAGATGCTCTTCACTTTCTTCATTCTTCTTTCTCTCCATTTTCAGATTCAGACTTATCCATCTATCTCTATGTTTGCTATTTTTTCTTCTGCATATTTACATATACCCTTGAGCTCCTCCAGTAAAATTGTAGTAGTTTGAGAATTTTTCAGCCATTATTTTTTCAACCTTTTTTTTCTGCTTATTTCTCTTGCTCGAGAATATTTTTATGCTCAGTTGACAGTTTGGCTGGGTATAGAATTCTAGGTGCAAAATAATTTTTCTTAGAATTTTAAAGGGATTGCCTCATTATATGCTAGTGTCTGTGTTTCGGTTTTTTTGAGACGAAGCATTCGCTCTGTCGCCCAGGCTGGAGTGACAGTGGCCGGATCTCAGCTCAGCGCAAGCTCGCCTCCCGGGTTGTACGCCATTCTCCGGCCTTCAGCCTCCCGAGTTAGCTGGGACCACAGCGCGCCGCCACCTGGCCCGGCTAGTTTTGGTACTTTTTTTTAGTAGGAGACGTAGGTGTGCACCGTGTTAGCTGTAGGAATGGTCTGCGATTCGCCGACCTTGATCCGCCCGGTCTCGGCCGTCCCAAAGGCTGCGGGATTACAGGCTGAGCCAACCGGCGCCCGCCGGGAGTGTCGTGTTTCTAATAAGAAGAATCATACGCCAGTGCTGACGCTTGGTAGGTGTAAAGGTATTGTTTCGCAAAAGTGGAAGATTTTGGCTTTTGGGGTTTGAAGTTGAAATTTCGTGAGGCGGGCAAGAGTGTCGAGGGGTCTTTCCATGTCACCTTCGTCGTTTATGTGGAGAGGATTAGCTGTGTCTCAGCTGGAGGGTAAATGATTCGAGGGTGCTTTCGGAGTGTTGACTTTGAAGTTTCCGGGTAAGACTTGAAAACAATATGCCCGCCTTCTTGCATGGGGCCGAAAAAGAAACGGAGGTTGGCAGAGGAGACATTTTTAGGTGGTGGGGACAGGTTCCTACGGATTTTAGGAGTCACAAGCTTCTAGAATAAGGCGTCCACGCCGCATGGTAGAATCAATCAGTGAGTTTTATAAAACCGCCAAGCCTGAGTCTCACCCTAAGATATCTCATGTATCAGTCTGGGGTGCAGCATTGGGCATTGGGTTCTTAAAAGCTTTCCAGAAGATCTGAAGATGCATCCAGGATCAGGAGCCACTGCTTTAGAATGGCTCAGGAGATGGGTGCTTCGGCCCGCACTTCTGGTGGACTTGGTCCTGCGGGAGTCTCATAGCTACGACGTATTTCAGGGGCAAGCGGCTGAGGGTTTAGAGTCCCTCCGTAATGTCCCTATGTGAGAGCCTGTGGAGTTAAGTCCTCTGTTGGGCCCTGTTCAGATCTGTGAGAGTCACATAATCACAGGCTCACCCGCGGGGGGTCTCAGTGAACAGGAGCAGCTCGCGGTCCCAGCTCTTCTCCTGCCGCGCTTTGGGGCTCAGAAGACACAGGAGTGAAGGAGACTCAGGTGTGGGGCCAGGCTGGCGGGGCCAGGCTGGTGGAGTCGGCTCCACGGCCGCCTCGCTCTGCCTCCAGTCACTGATTCGTGAAACAGGGGCCGGTAGTTCAGTACCATCCTTGGAGCGCTGTGAGGTGGGAACTGGAGCCATCACACGGTGGCTAGAACAGTAGCGGAGCGGCCGGCCCTCGGCAGGGGTCGAAAAGCCAGAGGGCATACACGCACAGGGAGGAAATGGGCACCGGAGGCGAGTGGGCCGGGTCGCCCGGGATGGACGGTGGGCGGCGGGCATCAGGAGGGTGGGGCCCAGCTGTCCGTGCATTCATCGGTCATCTTGTGGTATTTGGGAAGATCGTGCCCGCGAGGTTGGCTTGGTGTTCATTATCTGTTGTGGGTTGAAGTAGAAACTCTATAAATGGGTAAGAGTGTCTGTTTCAACGGGCTTCTGAAATGTGTTGAGACAAGATTGGTTTTTGGAAATACTAGTGAAAACCACCTTTAAGATTCTTTTTTTTTTTTGGTGTGAGCGACAGAGTCTCATTTGTTCACCCAGACGGAGGCAGTGGGCGATCTCAGGCTCACTGCAAGGCCAACCTCCTGGGTGTCACGCTTTCTCGCCTTTGCCTCAGCTCCCGAGGAGCTGGGACTACAGGCGGCCTGCCACCTTTCACCTTGGGCTAATTTTCTTTTATATTTTAGAGAGATGGGATTTCACTGGTGGACCAGGATGGGTCTCGATCTCCGGACTCATGATCCACTCACTTGGCCTGCAAAGTTGCTAGGATTACAGGCATGAGCCACTGTCCCCATTCTAATGTTCTTTTAAGTTAAAGAATATTAGAGGGTGTTTTGCATCTTTTATAGTTGGATGAAAACAAATTTAAAGTATTTTGGTGACTGTTGTGACACTCCTTGTCTAAAAACATTCGTCCATATTCAAAATACTTTGCTTTTCATTAAATACTTTTTATAGCTTAGCTCTAACTTGAGTCACATCCCATTTGTATGAATTCTATCAACAATAAAAGCGATCTGTGGTAAAGTTCTGAAGGCCCATGCGAAGTTCTGAGATGAGCTGTCCTGCTTCCTGTCTGAAGGTGGGTAAGGAGACCTCACGAGGACCCTGTTCTACACTTTGATAAAATGGGGTTGGTTTGGTTATAGCTGAAAGGGACATCGTTTTCTGTAATAATATTTTTTCTTAAATAGGGAGAGTTACACTGACCGTTAGATAACATAGATCCAAAGTCTCTGTTTCAGAAGTGCTGGGTGTTTGAAATGGGTTGGTTCATTTGTTATGATTCGGCCCCGCGTTTCCTAATAATGTGGCCACTCGCTGAACCCAAAATGAAGCCCAATCCCACCCTCTTCTCTCCAGGAGGAAGGAATGTTAATATCTCGCCTCCATGTGAGTTTTTCCTGCCGAGACCATGGCAACCAGATCCCCTCACAAAGGGACCGGCCTCCCCAAACAGGAGCCCCGCACAAACATTTGACTTTCTTCAAGGCAATAATATTAAAGCAAATTCCTTGTCTTTGCCAAACACAGGATTCATTGTGAGAAACTTCCAGCTTCCTTAGTGAGATAAGTCTTCGCTCGTTACCCAGGTTCACGGATACCATTCTCTCCTGAAACCTGACACTGACAAGCCACGCTGTGAGCGGAGCCCCTGGTGACTGCGGCGTGCCTGTGGAAGGCCCCTTCTGGCCCTTCGCTCTCACAGGTGCCCTCCGCCTGTGTTTCTCGTGGGGAGCTTCCGGGCACTCACCGTGCTCTGCAGCGATGGTGGAGGCTCGGCTGCAGCAGCTCTGGAGACACGGCCCACCGTCCGTCCCAGGGCAGAGCAGGCGCTCGCCACCCCGGGTGCATCTCCTCCCTGCACCTGTTCATGCCCCTGGCTTTTTGACATCCGGGATCATCTGGCTAACTGGGTTGAGCTGGCTAAACTTTAGGGATTAACGCTGGAAGTTAAACTGCTGCCTGGTCCAAAGCCCCCCACCCTGCAGAGGGTGGGAGAATGCGGAGAGGGCGGGCGACTCCGCGTCTCACTTCTGTGCAGCCGCGCGGTCCCAGTGGTGCCGTGAGTTTGCCGATGCCCCCCTCCTGGAACAGGGCAGCCCCCGTGGGGCGGGAGCCCCGCCTGCCCCTCCGTGTAGTGGAAACGGGAGAGGGACACGGGTGTGGCTGAAATGCACACTTGGCCACTGTCCCCTCAGACCCACAACTTTCTGCAGCTTGTCTTGGTTTGGACCAGAGAGATTTATTGTTTAATTCTGTGCACATCTGTTTTGCTTTGTGTGGCTTTCCTGGCTGCCGTCACATCTGTAACTGTCCGGTGTTACCAGCCTCGTTTCTAGGGAAAGTGGGTATCCTGCCCCTTGGAGCCTCCTCAGCATCCTCATTTTGGGCTAAATGCGGCCTCTGATCCACCCTGCCATCGCGTCCAAGCTGAGCCTGCCACACGTCCATTTCTGCCGGTTACTCTTGGTTCAGATGCCTTCCTGGCTACCCCTGCGTGCAGGGGGAAGTTGAACCTTCTTAGCCCAACAGGCAATTCCCACGAAGCTGCCCAGTGCCTGCTCTCCCAAACATAGGCTGCTCCAAATAATGCTGTCTGCCCAGACGGCCCACCGCCGACAGAGCGGCACCCAGGATGGTGGTCTGCCCTGGGCTGCCTGCTCCTGCCGGTTTACATTCTTAACAGCCTCAGGCTCTAGCCACAGCTCCCTGACAGGGACCCTCTGAGCCTCCCTAGCCCTGCTTTCAATCCCGTTCATTTGGCATTTAACCCGAGGTCGTCGTTCAGCTCTTTTTCCAGCTCAGTTGTGATATCTTTGAAGACAAAGACTTTTTGAAACTCCTGTTAAAATATAACATCCACACAGAAAAGTGTACATCGTCATCGTACGGCTGGATGAACACACCATGTAACTGGGACCCTGAGGAAGAACAGAAGATCACAGCCCCCAGCAGCCCCTCGGGTCCCGCTGGTCACCCCCTTTCCCCAAGGGCAGTTCCTAGTTTCTCACAGCACAGAAGAATTTCGGCTGCCCTTGTGCTCCGGGCCAGTGCCCCTACCCGCAGCCGCTCCCTTCTCTGCCCAGCAGCCTGGGAGAGGCACCCACACTGTGCGTGCAGCCCTGGAGGTGCTTTCTTGTCATGTGTGTTGCCAGCTTTTCCGTTCTGCGCTTGGGTAGTTCCCAGTTTTGAGCTCTGACGACACCGCTACCCTCGGTGGCCGTGAAGATTGAGCTCTGCTGGGTTGACGCTGTGTGTGTCTGTCATGGGATGTGCACCCACTCTGGTGTTGGGGATGCTGGCCGCACACTCAGCTCGTCACAGAGATGCACGCCAAGATAATCACCCTCCAAGCGTCCAGCCCAGTGACCTCCAGCCCGTCACACACACGCAAACCACCTGCCGAGTGTCCAGCCCCCAACTTCCCCCTTGTGACTGGACCCTGACTTTCATCAGAGTAAACTCTACAGACTTCCTTCCAGGGGTATTTTAATTTTGTTTTTTTTTTTTGAGGCGGAGTCTCGCTCTGTCTCCCAGGCTGGAGTGCAGTGGCGTGATCTCCGCTCACTGCAAGCTCCGCCTCCCGGGTTCACGCCATTCTCCTGCCTCAGCCTCCCGTGTGGCTGGGACTACAGGCGCCCGCCACCTCGCCCGGCTAGTTTTTTGTATTTTTTTTAGTAGAGACGGGGTTTCACTGTGTTAGTCAGGATGGTCTCGATCTCCTGACCTCGTGATCCGCCCACCTCGGCCTCCCAAAGTGCTGGGATTACAGGCGTGAGCCACCATGCCCGGCCTTAATTTTGTTTAAAAAAATATTTGCAGGCCTCAGCTTCGTGCTGTACTCAGTGAAGGTCCATCTCATTTTTTTTCCTTCAGTGAGCGTATCAGACTTTAACGAAGTGCCTGGTGGACTCTGTGTTTTATCCTTGTTCTCGTTATGCCACCTACCAGAGGTGGAATATTGTCTCTCTCTGACTTTCCTTTCATTCCTTTGAAAGCTGACCTACGTTTTTGGTGGCAGTGCAAAATGTTCCTAGCTTTCTTAGAGAATATCGTATATTGGCCGGGTGCGGTTACTCACACCTGTAATCCCAGCACTTGGAAGGCCGAGGTGGGCAGATCACCTGAGGTTGGGAGTTCGAGACCAGCCTGACCAACATGGAGAAACCCCAAATCAGGCGTGGTGGTGTATGCCTGTAATCCCAGCTGCTCGGGAAGCTGATGCAGGAGAATCGCTTGAACCCGGGAGGCGGAGGTTGCGGTGAACTGAGACTGCACCACTGCACTCCAGCCTGGGCAACAAGAGGGAAACTCCGTCTCGAAAAAAGAAAGAATATCGTATACTAAGCTTTAGGAAAGAGAATTGCTGCGGGAAACTGAATTACAAAAGAGTTTTGCTCTTCTTTTTTCCACAGTCGGATACTCTAAAAATCAAGCAGTTGCCCAGAGCTCAGGGTCTTACCTTTGCTTTTTGGATTCGGTAAGTAACTTTCTTTCGTTTGTAATGTATACACGTGTACATTTTAGTTGAGTAATTAAATGATCTTACATTTTAGTGTGGTTCTTGAAAATCATTTTTCTAATGGTTATTAGACTAATAATGTATTAGTCCGTTTTCACGCTGCTGATGAAGACACAGCTGAGACTGGGTAATTTATAAAGAGAAAGAAGTCGAATAGACTCGCAGTTCCATGTGGCCGGGCTGGCCTCACAGTCGTGCATGTCTGACATGGTGGCAGGTGAGGAAGGCAGCTCGTGCAGGGAAACTCCTCCTTTGAAGTCCGTCAGCTCTCCTGAGACTCACCCAATATCACTAGAAAAGACAGACCCACCCCGTGACTCAGTGGCCTCCCAGCGGGGCCCTCCCACGACACGTGGGAATTGTGGGAGCGACAATTCAAGGTGAGATGTGGGTGGGGACACAGCCCAGCCATATCAAAGTTATTAGACAGCCTTAAAAATTAAGGTCAATAGGTTGTTGCTGTTTAATTGCACTTAATGAGTTAATCATGATGAGTACAATGATATAAAAACGTAAAATTGCACAGCAGAGAGCGATGTAAGCAAAATGAAGATAAACTGGGATGAAATCGGAAAATATGGTACTTAAAAGATAAATAACCTTACTGATTAATAAAAGTTGATAAGAAAACACTAAGAAAAGGCCAGGCACAGTGGCTTATGCCTGTAATCCCAGCACTTTGGGGGCGGAGGTGATGGACCACCTGAGGTCAGGAGTTTGAGACCAGCCTGGCTAACATGGCAAAACCCCCATCTCTACTAAAAATACGAAATTAGCCAGCTGGTGGGCACCTCTAGTCCCAGCTACTTGGGAGCTGAGGCAGGGAGAATCACTTGAACCAGAGAGCGGAGGTTGCAGTGAGCCGAGATTGCACCACTGCACTCCAGCCTGGGGAGCAGAGCGAGACTCTGCTGTCAAAAAACAACAAACAAACAAAACACTAAGAAAAAATAGATAAGTAGGCAGAGGACAGGAGCAGAACTCTCAGAAGTGGATGTACAAACAACTAATAAACTTTTTATGAATTTAAGTCATTTGTATTCAAACACAGATAGTGAGATTCTTTTAAAAACTGAATTAATAACACTTTAAAAATGTAGATAACTTAGGCTGGCGTGGTAGCTCACGCCTGTAATCCCAGCACTTTGGGAGGCTGAGACGGGTGGGATCACGAGGTCAGGAGATCGAGACCTTCCTGGCTAACACGGTGAAACCCCATTTCTACTAAAAAATACAAAAAAAATTAGCCGGGGTGGGTGGCGGGCCTGTAGTCCCAGCTACTCGGAGGCTGAGGGCAGGAGAATGGCGTGAACCCGGGAGGCGGAGTTGCAGTGAGCCGAGATGGCGCCACCGCACTCCAGCCTGGGCAAACAGAGCCAGACTCCGTCTTTGGAAAAAAAAAAGTAGATAACTTAGTATTTTGGACACTCTAAATTGATGCCATCTTGTCAGTGTAACTTTGCATTTTCTATCAAGAGCCTGAAGAGTGTCCTTCACTCCTCAGCTTTCCTTCTCGGCCTCTCTGAGAACGATTTGGATACAAAGAAGCTTCAGGTCGTTGACTGTGATGGAAAATGGAAACGTTAATGTGGGACAGGAGGGTCACGGTGGAGAAGTTTCCGGCAGGTCTCCATGGGGGTCACTGTTTATAAAGACTTTTCAACAGCAGGACAAATGACTGAATAACAGGTAGTTGCTTGTATGGTCTACACTCGACTATAGATATTTAAAAAATTACTTTAAAATTAACTTTAAGAAATTTATCTGTATTTGTCCCTTCTCTGTGCATTCCTGGGGTGCCGCTCAGCGTCTCCAGGCCGCCCTGGCCCAGGCTCCTGCCTACGGAGGGATTCACGCAGGGCCCGCCTGCTCCTCTCCTCCTGACCCAGCTCTTTTCCTTGATCACCAGAAGCCTCTGCACAAGGTGTTGGTACACGTGGAGGTTTGGCAGAGGCGTGCCCGCACAAACGGGGTAGAACTGAGAGTCACCGGCCGGCTGGGGGAGGCGGTTTGGCAGAGGCGTGCCCGCGCAGACGGGGTAGAACTGAGAGTCACCAGCCGGCTGGGGAAGGAGGTTTGGGAGAGGCGTGCCCGCGCAGACGGGGTAGAACTGAGAGTCACTGGCCAGCTGGGGAAGACGGTTTGGGAGAGGCGTGCCCGCGCAGACGGGGTAGAACTGAGAGTCACCGGCTGGCTGGGGAAGGCGGTTTGGGAGAGGCGTGCCCGCGCAGACGGGGTAGAACTGAGAGTCACTGGCCAGCTGGGGAAGACGGTTTGGGAGAGGCGTGCCCGCGCAGACGGGTTAGAACTGAGAGTCACCGGCTGGCTGGGGAAGGCGGTTTGGGAGAGGCGTACCCGCGCAGACGGGGTAGAACTGAGAGTCACCGGCTGGCTGGGGAAGACGGTTTGGGAGAGGCGTGCCCGCGCAGACGGGTTAGAACTGAGAGTCACCGGCCGGCTGGGGAAGGCGGTTTGGCAGAGGTGTGCCCGCGTGCAGACGGGGTAGAACTGAGAGTCACAGGCCGGCTCGGGAAGGAGGTTTGGGAGAGGCGTGCCCGCGCAGACGGGGTAGAACTGAGAGTCACCAGCTGGCCCGGGAAGGCAGAGCCCCCAGGGCGGCACCAGCTGCTGCGGCCCCGTCCTGGTGCCTGGGTCTCTTTCTTCTCGTCTCTTTTCTTCTTAGACCAAAACGCCTCAGATTTCTCCCGTTTTCTTACGCAGAACCTTCAGCCCTCTCTCCTGACCCTTCCCTGGGCTCATGTTTTTATGCTCAGATGGTCCTTCCAGTGTTTTCCTCGCTAAGACAGCGTCCACCAAGGACAGCTCAGCCCACCACACGGAAAGTGGTGCTTTGTTGTCTTTGGGGGACGGGCTTGCGGTAATCTTCTTTTTTGGTTTAAAATTGTTCTTCCTGAAGTATTTTGTGGCGATCGTATGTTTTCTCCAGCGACAGCCGCAGCAGCAGCAGCAGCAAGGTTCCAGCTGGCGACTGGCAGGAGATGAGAACCTCCCTGTCCTTGCAGCATCTTAAAATCTCCCCAGGACACAGGTCCCAGCTGGGACAACTTTGTTTCCATCTTGCCCCAGGAGAAAAGAGAAAATGCTGAAGTCGTCCCCTTCCCTCCTGTCTCCTTCGTAGCTTTCTTTTGTTCACCGAAGGGTGGGAAGGAAAAGGTTCACGGAGGTGTGGGAGATCCAGTAGAGCGAGCTCGGTGGGCCCTCGGAAGCCGGGAGCCAGGGCAGAGCGGGGAGCGAGGCCCAGGAGTCGCCTGACAGAGCAGTGCCGGGGTCTCACCAGCGAGCTCAGCAGCAGGAACAGCGTGAAAGACGGGAAGAAGGGGGGAATCGGGCCCTCGAAATGCCTTTTAGCCGTCCGGGGGAGAGGACAGGAGAGATGAGAGTGGATCGATGTCCGGCTCTGTCAGTCTTGGCCACCGTGGGACTGGGAGAGCAACAGGGAGGGTACGCTGGGCGCGGAAGCCCACCGATGCCAGGGGTGTCCGAGAAAGACTGTGGTGCAGAAGTCTGACTGGGGAAGCCTTGCCCCCAGCACTAGGGACCTGAATTGTTCTCAGGGTTTAGTTTAAGTAAATCATGAAATAATGCTAAGATAAAACTCTGGTAAGCTTTGGGGCCGGCGCAGTGGCTCACGCCTATAATCCCAACACTTTGGGAGGCCGAGGTGGGCGGATCACGAGGTCAGGAGAGTTTGAGACCAGCCTGGCCAACATGGCAAAACTCTGTCTCTGCTAAAACTACAAAAAGTAGCTGGGCGTGGTGACACGCACCTGTAATCCCAGCTACTCAGGAGGCTGAGGCAGGAGAATCGCTTGAACTGGGAGGCAGAGGTTGTAGTGAGCTGAGATAGCGCCACTGCGCTCCCGCCTGGGCGACAGAGCGAGACTCCATCTCAAAAACAACAACAAAAAGCTTTGGTAAGCTGCAGGCAGCAGCCAGTTGCACTGGGATGCATAAGACCAGCTGGCCGTGGCACGCTTGCCCTCCTGGTGACTGGTGGGGTGTCTGGGAGGGAACAAACAGGGCACAGAACCTCTGCTTTATTTGGGGTTCAGTGTGGGACACACAGATACTGCCCTGGGTCTTCAGACTTTATCACAGGGTTTAGATTTGGTCTTCATAGTTGAAAAACCAAAAACCAAAACCACGACAGAAGAGGAAGGACCCTGAGAAAAGCAGAAAAAGTAGAAAGACAGAGGAATTTATGAGGCAGGGAGATGAAGCCGTGTAAGTTTGAGGACAGGTAACTCATGTCCTCTTGGTTCCAAAGAGACATTTTTACAGATCCGTGGTCTCATTTGTCCGTGTCTAGAGAGAACAACATCAAAAACGTGTTTCCTCGTATTCGGGGGTTTGATTCCCTGCCGCGGGGGTGCCTTTGTCTCATACTGAAGGTGCATTGAAGCAGCAACATCATGAAGGCCCCACAGGAGGAGGGAGGCCTGGGAACCAGAGTGTGCTGGGCCCCTGAGCTCGGTCTGGGTAACTCGGTCTGGGTCGGAGGCCGGGCCTGGTCTGACCCGTCATCTGGCCCCCGAGCTCGGTCTGGATCGGAGGCTGGGCCTGGTCTGACCTGTCGTCTGGCCCCCGAGCTCGGTCTGGGTAACTCGGTCTGGGTCGGAGGCCGGGCCTGGTCTGACCCGTCGTCCGGCCCCCGTGCCTGGCTCAGGAGCAGGTCTGCAGATGTTGTGAGGCCGGGCCTGTGGGCAGCTGCCCTGTGGAGTTGATGATGAGAGGTGAACATCCTGGAGGAACGCTGGGGGTTGCCCGGCTGACCAGTATGAACGTCACCTGAAACTCACTCTGGATCCAGTATGTGCAGAGGGCGTTAGAGCAGGACAGATACGGTTCCTGACCTCTAGGGTTGGCAACTGAGGACAGTTTAAACAGATCTTCACCTTTTGCTCATGAAGCGTCTCCATCCTCCCTGGGACCCGCCCCACACCCGCTGCTGTCAGTGCAGCCTCACTGCACGCCGTTCTCGTCACGCGACAGCGCCTGGACGGCTTGTCCTCGAGCCTATTAGGTGGGCTCAGGTGTCCGGAAAGGCTGTGGAAGGCCCCCCCGTGACTGTCCCATGGCCAGGTTCCTAAGGGGCAGGGGTGAGTCCTCACAGAGCCCTGTCTAAACGTGGCACTGGTCCTGCGAGGGACCCGTGGGTGCTCGGGCGGCCGTCACTGAGTTTACGCCCTTCCCCGCTGGAAAACGTGGCACTGGTCCTGCGAGGGACCCGTGGGTGCTCGGGCGGCTGTCGCCGAGTTTATGCCCTTCCCCGCCGGCCTCTGATCGATCAGTGCCTGGCGCGGCATTTCCTCCTGGCACACGCTGCTGTGTTCTCTTCGGCGTTTCCTCCTGGCACACGCTGCGTGTTCTTGTCTCGGTTGTTTGTGTTCTTGGAAACTTCAGCAGAATAAAACAAAGAAAACAAGAAGCCTGACTTTTAAAGAAAATAGACTTTAAATATCTTGTTCATTACAGTGATTTGGATTCCAGGCCTCTTGGAAATGTTCAAACGAAACGTCTATGACAAGATCTGCAGAGCAGCTCCACCCGGGAGGTCCAGCGGCTCTTAGAGCACTGCTTGCTTCTGAGCTGACCAGGTTCTCTTTTCCCTTCGCCCTTCAGGGTTCTCAGGGTGGAGAGCCTCTGTCTGCCCCTCTCCTGTCCCCCGACTCCCGTCCTCGCTGGGGAACCGGCCGCGTCCCCCGACCTCCTTCCTCGCTGGGGAACCGGCCGCGTCCCCCAACTCCCGTCCTCGCTGGGGAACCGGCCGCGTCCCCCAACTCCCGTCCTCGCTGGGGAACCGGCCGCGTCCCCCGACCTCCTTCCTCGCTGGGAAACTGGCCGCGTCCCCCGACCTCCTTCCTCGCTGGGGAACCGGCCGCGTCCCCCGACCTCCTTCCTCGCTGGGAAACTGGCCGCATCCCCCGACTCTCTTCTTCGCTGGAGAACCGGCCGCGTCCCCCGACTCCCGTCCTCGTTGGGAACTGTCGCGTGGCTGTCCACATGCACAGGAAGCCACATGGCCTTCCTGGAACTGCCCCGAGGCCTCTGAACTGGGGCCTCAGGTGAGAGGAGGGGGCACGTGGCTGGGATGAGAAGGGCCAAGGCGGGGCGGGCGCTGCAGACAGGGACGGCCCAAAGGCTCTGCCTCCGCTTCGCCAGCTCTGCAGTGTTGTTGCGGCAAACCCGGGGCTGTGGGGAGGGTTAGACAAGCCTGGCCGTTCTCGTCCTCGCTGCCAATCCTCGAACCGAGGGGACAGGGATGCAGCGGTAGCCGGGCCCCAGAACCCTCGCAGCCGCCAGGCGCTCTGAGCACGGCCTGTGGCGCCCCAGGCCCATCCTGCCTCGGAGGCTGTTCCCCTTTCCACCCCTACGGCTGCCCTTGGCCTCCTTCTCCGCTAAGTCCCTTTATTTCTTTACTTTCCCACCTGTGGTTTTGCTTCTGCTTTACTTGCGCTCATGCTGCTGTTGTGTTCCTAGCCCTTGGGCTGGGCCCCTCCTCTCCAGGCTTTTGTTTTCTACTGTAAGATTTAAGCAACTGGTTTTCCTCTTATGGAGAACTTAGTACTGTGGGGGTGTCCGTAAATTTGAATATAAAGCTCTAGTTATTATTCAGTTATGTTTCCTAATTTCCATTATGATTTCTTCTTCTTCTTCTTCTTCTCCTTCTTCTTCTTCTCCTTCTTCTCCTTCTTCTTCTCCTGCTTCTCCTTCTCCTCCTTCTTCTCCTCCTCCTTCTCCTCCTTCTTCTGCTTCTCCTTCTCCTTCTCCTTCTTCTTTCTTCTTCTTCTTTCTTCTTCCTTCTTCCTTCTTCTTCTTCTTTCTTCTTTCTTCTTCTTCTTCTTCTTCGAGGGAGTCTGGCTCTGTCGCCCAGGCTGGAGTGCAGGGGCGCGATCTCGGCTCACTGCAACCTCCGCCTCCTGGGTTCAAGCGATTCTCTTACCTCAGCCTCTTGAGGAGCTGGGACCACAGGCGCCGCCACCACGCCCGGCTAATTTTTGTATTTTTAGTAGAGACGGGGTTTCACCGTGTTAGCCAGGATGGTCTCGATCTTTTGACCTCGTGATCTGCCCACCTCGGCCTCCCAAAGTGCTGGGATTACAGGCGTGAGTCACTGCGTCCGGCCTCTTTTTCTCCTTTTTAAATTTAGATCTTAGGATCTCAGGAGCCCAGAATCAAATTAATCAGGACCCTTGGTTCAGGACACATTCTCATCATGTGTTCAAGCACGGCCCGTTTTGTTCGTCTCTGTGATTATAACGGTACCTGTTTTCCTGGGTGGCGACTAACCGAGGCCAGTGGTGCAGGTGGTAAAGGAATTTACCAAGACAGTTGTAGGTCAAGAAAGGCAGATTTATTTGAGAAAGCACGAAGATAGGTTGCAAGAAAGCAACGGGCACATCAGCAAGACAGGAGCTGACTGGCCGGAGACAGAGCCTTGCTGGGGTTTTAAAGGTGGTGCTTGTGCTAGAGAGGGCCACGAGCAGTGCTGGTAACACTGAGGTTGCAGGGACCTAAGCTGTATTTTTTTCTTAGCCGAGGGTCTGCTGATGAGTTGGGCAGAGGAAGATTGTGAGTTGGGTGAGTTATTTGTGCAGAAATGCTGTGTGTCCTGGACCATGAGGAATCTGCTTTTTCTTTTTGCTTCCCCGGCTCCCCCAAGCCTGACTTCTTTTCCCTAATTAGGACTCCACACCTATATTTTTAGTTTTTATAGTGTTACAAACACCCATGGACCTGCCCCCTAAAACAAGAGCCAGCTCAGGCCTCTCACTTCTCGCAGGTGACCACGCTTATCCCCTGCCTCCTTCCGCCTGGGTAACCGTCAGCCCAAATTCTGTGCTCCTCCTCCCTTGCTCTGCTTTTAAAATAAGTATTTGGTATCTATACAAATCTGAAAAAATAATTTTTAACTTCAGTCCTTTTTAACTTTATAAAATGGGTATCACTGTACATAGTATTTTGGAACTTTTAAACCTTACTGTTGTTAAGGTTCATCCATGTCGTTGCATCTCATTATAGTTTATCCAGGTTTTGAAAATGGCGGCAGAATTTACATGCAGCAAAGTACAAGATTTCCGTGTGAAATTTGTGCACAACATGGGTAATCTGCGATGTCTGACAGCTCGCGTGCCGTGTAACTAACACCCCAGTCGAGTGCAGAGACCTGTCCCTCGGAACGACCCTGCGTGCTCCCGGCTCCGGTCCCCACGGCAGCCACTGGCCTGACTTGGAGCCCCGGGGCTTCCGTTGCCAGCCCTTGAATTTCATGCGTACGTGAAACCACACGGCCGTGCTCTCGCGTTTCTCTCCCACTCAGCCGAATGATCTTGCGTTCCAGCCTCGTATTGCTGGCTCCGTCCTGTGTCCTCAGTGTGACGGCACCATGATCGTTTCGATGCTGTGGTTTCCAGCTCGGGTTACTGGGAGAAAGGCGCCGTTAACATTCCTGTCTTTCTGTGGATGTACCTCTCCGTTTCTCTTGGGAAATACCTAGGGGTGGAATTGGCACGCCACAGGGACAGGTATTTTTACCCTAAAGGAATCTGCGGAACAGTTTTCCGGCGTTCGTGCTGTTCTGCCTTCCCGCCCGCAGGTGCGGGCTCTGCAGCGTTGACGCCGTCGGCCTTTATTTTCATGATTCTCGTGGCCCCGAGGTGTGTCTCACTGTGGTCTGACATTTTCCTGATGGCTGGTGGTGATGGTGAGCACCTTTTTGTGGGTTTATTGGCCATTCATAAATCTCCTTTCATGAAATGCCCGAATCTCACCTTTTATAAAATTGAGTTATCTTTTTTTTTTTTGAGATGAAGTCTTCCTCTGTCACCCAGGCTGGAGTGCGGTGACACGGTCTTGGCTCACTGCAGCCACCGCCTCCCGGGTTCAAGCAGTTCTGCCTCAGCCTCCCAAGTAGCTGGGACTCCAGCCACCACACCCAGCTAATTTTTTGTATTTTAGTAGAGACGGGGTTTCCCCATGTTGCCAAGGCTGGTCTCAAACTCCTGAGCTCAGGCGATCCACCCTCCTTGGCCTCCCGACATGCTACGATTACAGGCGTGAGCCACGACACCTGGCCTGTTTATCTGACTAGTAATGAGTTAAAGAGTTTTGTGACATATTATGGATACAAGTCCTTTGTCAGGTGTATGGATTGTGGATATTTTTTCCCTGTAAGTGGCTTTTTTTTTTTTTTTTTGAGAGAGTCTCACTCTGTCACCCAGGCTGGAGTGCGGTGGCCCAATCTCGGCTCACTGTAGCCTCAGCCTCTGAGGCTCAAGCAGTCCTTCTGTCTCAGCCTCTCAAAACACAGGGATTACAGGCATGATCCACCGTGCCCGGCCCCTCTTCGTGTTTTAATGGTGTCTTGATGAGCAGAAGTTTTTAATATCAGTGAAGTCCAACTTATTTACTGTTTTCTAGTTAATTTTTTTCCTAAGAAACCTTTGCTTACCCTGAAGGAGAAGTTGTATTTCTCTGGTAACTTCTAGTTTTGACTTTCCTGTCGGCGTCTCTTGTCCATCTCTAGTTAATTTCCGTATGTGGCGTGCAGTAAATGTCAAGGTTAGTTTTTTTCATGTGGCTGTTCAGTCCCAGCATCATTGGTTGAAGACCTTTCTTTTCTCCGTGGAATTGTGCTGAAGCCTTTGTTGAAAATCACTCGGGCCGTGTGAGGGTGGGTTTGTCTGCGGCTCCCTGCCCCGCTCTGTGTGTCTGTCGAGGGTGGGTTTGTCTGTGGGCTCCCTGCCCTGCTCTCTGTATCTGTCGTTTGCAGTTCGTTTGGTTTCTCTGCCGAGCAAACCTGCTGTGTGCATCCACCTGTCCTCCTGTGCACGGGCTTTTGGGCTGCCGTCGCCTGTGCACAAACCTCTGGCTGTTCCTCTTAGGTCTGTACCTGGAAGTGGAATTGCCAGGTCCAGGGGCGCGGAAGACGGATACCTGCAGACGCCGGCACTGTCGCCGGCTCCAGCGCTCAGAATTCCAGGGGTTCACTTTCCTGGCTGGGCAGGAGTGAAGGGGGCCTCACCGCGCCTGGATTTACACTTGCTGGTCACGGGTCACGGTGAGCATCGTCTTCTGTTCTTGGCCGTGTGGGTTTCCTTTTCTGTGAAAAGTGTTTGCATCTTTTTGCCCATTTCTCTTTCCCCTTTGAAGCCACCAGAACTCATGGAAAGTTTCAAGGATACCGCAAAGAACGTTTTGTTCTCCCTGAGCCATTGGCCTAGGCCACCAGCCTCGTGCGTGTCATCCCAAGTACGTTCTCCTGCAGCCCAGGCCTCCCCTCACGACAGGAACGTGCTCACCGGGACACAACTCACACCCGGTGCTGGGCCAGGCCGTCCCAGTGGTGCCGTGGGAGAAGCCCCTGCTCAGAATCGCGCTGCGTTTAGTTGCCCTGTCTCTGTAATCTCCTCCGCCTGGAATACCCTCAGCCCCACCTTGACTCTGCTCTTCTTGATGCTTTGAAGGTTCTGAGGCACTTTCTTTGTGGAAGACCCTGACACTTGTGCTGTCTGTGCTTCCTCACAGCGAGGTCAGGCCGTGCAGCTCTCTCCGGCGTATCTCGGAGGCGACACGGCCCTCTCGCTGCCTCCCTCGCGCGTGTGGTTTTGATTTGCCTCTTTGCTGAGGGGGCTCGGCTCTAGCACCTGGGGCGGGTTGCACCTGCTGTGTGGAAAGGCGAGGACAAGCACACATCCTGCTGCTCATCAGACTTGCAGTGCAGTGGGCACTTCTTTATGTGTGTGTGGACTCCGTGGTGTCTGCGTGTGTGTGTGTGTGGACTCCGCGTTGTGTGTGTGTGTGTGTGGACTCCGCGTTGTGTGTGTGTGTGTGTGGGCTTCACGGTTTCTTTGTGTGTGTGGACTCTGTGGTGTCCGTGTGTGTGTGGACTCCATGCTGTGTGTGTGTGTGATGGGGGGAGCTTCACGGTTTCTATGTGTGTGTGTTTTATTTGAGTTATCAGTAGTTACTGTCACTTACTGTCACTATTTGGCCAGCGAGGAACCTTTCAGACTGGCCTCCATGCCCTTTGACCAGGCCCCACGACCCTGGAGGACATCTTGCTCCTGGAACGGGGACCGTGGTCTTGCGGCTGCTGGCTGCTCTCGCTCTGGAGATCCTGGACAGCGGTGGCCGTTCGCTGCCCTCTGTGCTTGCTCTGGAGATCCTGGACAGCGGTGGCCGTTCGCTGCCCTCTGTGCTGGCCGACGTGTCCAGCAAGGTGTCTGGGGGGGTTGGAGCGCTTTGCACCCCTGAGCGGCACGGCCCGGCCCCCTGGCTGCGGCTACGGTGTTCTGGTCAGTCCACAGCGTCACGGTGTCGCCTGTCTAGCTGCAGAATGTGGTCCAGGGCAGGCCAAGTGTTGAGGGCATCATGGACCTCAGGCCCCTTACCCAGGCCTGACCCACACCAGGCCCCCGCAGCTTCCGCAGGCTCAGCCCCGGGGACGTGTTAACACGCGTGGCTTCGCCTCTGGGCCAGAGTCCTCTTTTCCTGGTGGGGCTGGGGCCCTGCCCGGTTCCCAGCTTTTCCCTCCACACGGAGAGCCCGGTCTCTACGCAGGACACAGATATTTATCCCTCAGCAGTTGGGGCCCCCCATGGAACCCACCTCACTTGGAGATTGGAGGCGGGTGAGGGGCTCTGCTGGCCGCGTCCTTGCGTGTCTTCCGCGTGGTCTGGAGAACTCTGACCTGCCGTGTGGTCTTGGAGGAGACTTGATATCCAGTCCGGGAAACTATTCAGAAAGCCGTGGAGCACTGCCTCCCGCGGGGAGTTCATGTTGAATTTAGAAGCAGGGCCCGCCAGCCTGCAGGACCCCGTGCAGAGGCTGCTGCTGAGGTGGCCACCTGCTGCGGCCGGGACCACCTGAGGCCTGCGCCGGGCGCTCCTGTGCGGACGACCGGGGGGGCCGCTCTGCTGCCTCGGCACATCGGGGACGCTGCCTCCAGGAGTGGACACCTGGAGCCTCTTGTATGTTCACCCGTGTGTAGCCTGTAGGTCCAGCAGGAAGTGTGGGGACACCGGACCGCGTGTCAGGCGAGTCCTCCCCGCACGGTGCCCTCCAGCATCTCCAGGGTTAGCGAACACGGTCCGGCGTTTTCTCTGGCGAGGCAGCAGGAACCCGCGCAGAGTCAGTAGCGGAGGAAGCACTTTTAAATTACGAATTTGCAGAAGATCGAGAAAGGCAATGCAACCTCCTTTGTGATGAAACATTTTGTCCCACCGTGTCCCATGGCTACCGAGGGCTGTAGAAGCGTGAGCCCATTTCTCCCGTGAAGAGGTTTCCACTTTCCCTTCCAGCTCTTCGCTGCAGCTGCGGGAGGTCGGGAGACGTGGGGGTGGGAGGAAGGAGGAAGGGAGGTCGGAGACGAGTGGGGATGGGTAGGAAGAGAATGGGGAGGTCGGGGAGAGGTCGGGGGTGGGAGGAAGGGAAGCTGAGGTGTCGTGTGAGACGTGGGGGATGCGAGGGAAGGAGAAGGGAGTAGGTCCGGGAGATCGTGGGTGGGCAGGAAGGAGAATGCCGAGGTCGGAGGAGATGAGGTGTGGGTATGGAAGGAGATAGGGGATGGTCGGAGAGTGAGTTGGGTGGAGGAAGGAGATAGGGAGGTCGGAGAGGTGGGGATGGAGAGGAAGGAGATAGGTGAGGTGGAACGTTCGTTGGGTGGGAGGAAGGAGAAGGGAGGTCTGTGGGAGAGGTGGGGTGGGAGGAAGGAGTAAGGGGATCGGCGAGAGGTGGGGGTGGGAGGAAGGAGAAGGGGAGGTTGGGAGATGTGGGGATGGGAGGAAGGAGAACGGGAGGTCAGGAGAGGTGGGGATGGGAGGAAGGAGAAGGGGCACCTCCCAGCATGCATTTAACAGAAAGGGGACAGGAGGCCCGTGCTTTGTCTTGGGAGGTTTTGAGAGCAAAGCATTTCACTGCAGAGCATGGTGGTGACCAAGAGATTCCTGAATCATGCTATTTTCTCTCTATTTAGAATGACCCGCTGGTCAGTAACTAATTAAATGCAGATGTAGCTGGCTGAGTGAGGAAGTGTGTTTTTCTTCATCTCTTCATCACATGCCACCTGACTTCTATATTTGACTTGTCGGCTTTAGCCTGGAATTGTTTAGAAAAGAGTGTTGGTGTCAGCTGTGTGGAATCTGCTGCAACTTAGAAAATAGCGGAGAGGAGCCAGTGTCCGTTCACGCTGGTGCAGGTGGGGCAGAGACAGGGCTAAGGTAATGTGAGTTCACGCTGGTGTAGACGGAGTGGGGACAGGGCTAAGGTAATGTCCGTTCATGCTGGTGCAGGTGGGGCAGAGACAGGGCTAAGGTAATGTCCGTTCACGCTGTGTAGACGGAGTGGGGACAGGGCTAAGGTAATGTGAGTTCACGCTGGTGCAGGTGGGGTGGAGACAGGGCTAAGGTAATGTGAGTTCACGCCGGTGTAGACGGAGCGGGGACAGGGCTGAGGTGATGTGAGTTCACGCCGGTGTAGAGGGGGCGGGGACAGGGCTGAGGTGATGTGAGTTCAGGCCGGTGGTGACGGGGCGGGGACAGGGCTAAGGTAATGTCCGTTCACGCTGTGTAGACGGAGTGGGGACAGGGCTAAGGTAATGTGAGTTCACGCCGGTGTAGGCGGGGCGGGGACAGGGCTGAGGTGATGTGAGTTCACGCCGGTGTAGACGGGGCGGGGACAGGGCTGAGGTGA